TCCAGCACCTCGCCTTGCCACATGCCGAAATGACCGGTCCCATCGATGATCTCCACCGGGAGTCTGACGTTCGGCATCACCGTCCTTGCCGGAATGAATGCAGATGATGATGCGCCCTTGACCTCCTTGGACATCTCGGACTCGAATGCAATGCCCGCCTCTCCGAATGAGCCTAGGACGAACCTTCGGGTCTGATACCACTTGTCGGGGTAGAGCACCAAGCGCAGCGAACAAAATTACCCCTACAACAAATTTGGCAAGCACTACGTTACTACTAACAAAAATACACCAACACAAATAAATAAAAGACGAGAAAGAAAAAGAACACAAAAATTGATAACAGAGTTCGACAAATATTGCCTACGTCTCCGAGCACCGCCAACCGCAGCGCCAAATTTACTAAACTCACCACAAAATACAACCAGCGTTAATTAACTTACAAATTAGGATTTCCTTAATTAGGGATTTCCTTCTAAGAAATGAAAGAATAGAATAAGGTACAATTGTAACTCAAAGGCAAGAGACCTATTTATACTAAAACAATCCTATCCTACACATCTTTATTACATATCCGATGTGGGACAACAATTATTCAAAATCTAACAGATACACCATGTAGATTTGATGTAGATAAATGATCTACGGATTAAAATCACGACGAAATAATTCTGTCACGGGATTGTAGTATTTTCCTAAATAATACCACGCATGTGTACATTTTTACTAATTTTAATAAAAACTCAAATTTTCACTCAAATCCATCTCATTAACTTTTTATTTTTAAAAATTAATTCTAACCAACAAATCTAATAAAAACAAAATTAACTTATATACAATCAGCTCCTAAATAAAGAAAAAAAGAATGATATTTATCGTCTCCGGTCCGGTTGTGACCCCCTTAAATTTCGCGTCTCTATCATCCCCTTTTTCGTTTCCCTGTCCTACACTCTCTTCAAAGCCTCCCGATTTCATGTCCTTATATATGTTTATTACAAGCACACGTTCTTTNTTGAGGCCCTCGCGCTTCGTGTAGCCACCGATGCATCTCGTAATCTCGGCCGCCTTTATTCTGCTCAAGCTCTTTACAACATTTTTCAGGTTTTTATTACTCTTCACATTTCTACCCTAATAATCTACTTTTAAACACCGCTTGTGTTCTTCAACTTCTTTTTCTTTGTAATATTGGTGTGAGCCTTAAATGAAATTTTGTTGGTTTTTTTTTTTTTGGTCACTTTTTTTTAAAATAAAATTGAATTCTCTACTTAATATTTTGGGCTTGTAGTTAGCGCTACTTCTATTTATATGTTGTGGATTGACTTTTAATACTCTTGTCGTTGTATTTATCTTACTTTCCCTTTTTCGTTGAAGTCATAACTTCTTGGGCAAGTTGAACATTAAAGAAATTGACATTTCGAGATGAAATTAAGTAAGAAAATGGGGATGGATAGGAGAAATTGTTAAGAATTCAGATGAGATTTTTAATGATTGTGGGCATATAAGCATTGAAATGAAGCAATTACGGTCCATTCGATTTCTCTTGGTTAGTTGGATGCTGTGTTAGGGGTGTTATTTAGCTTTTCGATTAGGGAGCAAATTAAATCCACCATTTTTTTGTACCTATTTTTTGTCTAGAATTTCATGGGATTGACTGGATATTTGTATTTTTGCCTTGTAAATTTCATGTGAACTTGGGTTTATATCAAATAAAAACTCATTTTTTCTCCTTACACTATATTCATTTGCTACCCTATTTTATTTGTTTCATTTGGTTTTTCTCCCAAACTTTTGAAAATACTTCAATGGTATTGAATTAGTTTGTAATTTTATTCAATCTTTAAGTAGTACAATAGCTAAGCATGATACGTCTTTTCAACAGATAACAAAAGAAAAATCTCTTGATGCGTGCATTGATGAGAATGTACCAAACTACTTTTGTTAAGATCTTTTGGTACGTTGATTAGGACAAGGCGTACTAGTTTTTTTTTTTTTNAATAAAATTGACCCGTATAATCTTTCACCAAATCCCATTTATATTTCATTAAAATCACCTGCATTTCAAAATTGAAATTCTTGATACCTATTTTTAACTACAAACCAATTGTGAAGAAACACTAAAAATAAAACCTCCCATTGTACTCAGACTTCTCCTTGGCAAAAGAAGTATAGAACTCCTCAATCCATTGCTATCAAAGGAATTTGCCATTTTAGTTGTAACCATCTTTTCTTCCCATCTAACTCTTTTGTTTCTTTAGGACTTTCTTTTCCCTTTCTTTTGCAGAACCCCTTTTCAGCTCTCAATAAAAAGTCCATTTCCATTTTATTTTTCAAATTTATAATATATCCCTTATATTGTGATGACTTTTGTGTATCCTTACAATAGGAATAATCTGTGCTTTCACTTTTGAAGCAGTCAATTTAAAATTCTTTGTTGATGTAGGGTTCTTAAAGAGTTGGGGCTTTTAGTTGAATCAATTGTCCTTTGGGTTTTACCAAGTTATCTATAAATAATACTTAAAAGAAGAAAGGAGTTGAGCCTCATAATACATATTTAAAGTAAGTAAATTTCTCTCTGTCACTTCTTACTTTTGTGTGTCAGATAGAGATGGGTATGAAGTAAATTAAAAGGCGTTTTATTTTTTCTATGTTGTCTGTATGTAACTGTACTCACTGTTGAGCCGTAGCTTTATATCTTCTTACTAACCTGAACGATAACATTTAAGATGAGATGAAGTTGTCAGTCATTTGTAGGATATATGAGGGGTTGAGTACAGCAGTACAAGTCTATAGCTATATGGGACAGGTCGAATATAACCTAGACATACTTTCTCTCTCCCATTCTCCATTTATTTATGTACAAAAGATCCAAAATATCATTTATTTGATTAATTGTTGATAAAATTAAAATGACATTTTAAAAAAAAAGGAGGTAGTACTTATTATTAAATTGTAATAATTTATTAAGGTGCACAAGAAATTAAATCTTATGTATGACTTCTGATCTTATAGTAACTAGTCATTTGACTCTATATTTTTTTTTTTTNATCACAATCCATATTGATTTAATTTGATAGATGTAGGAAAAATGTAAGTAAAAGTTAGTATTAGAATTATGTGGCCTCAAGAACTGGGCGAGCAGACAAACAATAAGAAAATAATTTTGGCTTATCTAATTGGCTGGGCTTTAGCAATAGCTAGCATGCCTACAAAACAAATCTCGGGTTTGTAGCCAAACAGCCTTTTCAGATCAATATTTATTGTGAAAATAGTTTTGCTTTTGCTATTGGTATGCGCAAGCATGGGAAAGGGGTTTCCTTCCCTAGGTGGTTTTACTAGTAATTAATAAAGGTTTCAGTAAAGAAGAAGTTGATATTTTACTCAATGTTTCGGAATTAATTAGGTCTAATTGATCTGAGATGGTCCTCCACCTCTCTGCCAACAAATATTGCTGAAACATAATTTTAAACTTTATTTACTATAAATAGTATTCAAAAAGTCAACTGTAATTAAATGTCATTATTATTTTCAGCAATTACTTTATTTATTTGTTTTATATCCCAAAAAATCGTTTCCTGCAATTAATGTCATTATTTTTTTTTCCAGTTTTTAGATAATCATCACCGCGTTTTAAAAATAATTCTATATAGATACCTCATTATTTTTTGGCAATTTATTCACGCGTCAATTTTATTTACTGTTTTTTAGGGAATGAAATCTCGTACAAAGCAAAATGACTATAAAGTCGGGTGAAATCCTGTTATTATAATATTTTCTATTTTGATTGGCGTATTTCCTAACAAATTACCATTAAAGCTGGGTGAGTACAAAGCAAAAAATCACATCTTATTTTTTTAGTATAACATATTCTCACTAGATAACATTGGAACCACTATCATAATTAATCAAATAGTTAACCTATAATATTATCCCAATTAATTGCTACTGAAATTAAAATTCGTTAACTTATGTTTGATGATTAAATTGTGATTATTTAATATCACCAAAATAGTATCAGATTTTATTTGTTTTATGTTCCAAAATTAAATGTAAGACTACATAAATAATTGATTTACTTTACACATATTATTCCAATTAATTGTAATAGAAATTAAAATTCTTTAATCGGATATCATTAAATAAATTGGTTTATTTTTTATTTATTGTCATGATCATGCAGGGAAATTGAAAGTTCAATTTCTTAATAAGTGAGATTTTATTTCTAATGGTTGTCGGGATTCATTTTTTGTGATAAGTCATCACACGATTTTTTAAGACTTATCATGCTATGAAATTAAACATTTCAATATACCATAACAAAATATACACGTGTTGTATACATCAGTTAATAGATTCCTCATATTTTTATATTGTATGTAATTTTTCTATTACCAAATTTTATTGATAGATTTTGTACTGTTATGGGTTTTTCATAATTGTTACTTGGTTGTTGTAATATTTAGTTTGGTTGGTGTTGCAAAATTCTAATATATATATATATATATATATATAACAAGAATAATCATTATAATGCAAATTAGAAAAATCTTGATCATAGAGAAAAATCTTGATTATAGAAGAGATTGAGTTCTTGGCATTTGCTAAATCAAAGTTGTTTAATTAGTATACAAAATTAAATTATAAAAAAATATATGTGTATATTTTTAAAATATTTATACACTATTTTAATTTTAAATTTATTTATATATTTTAAATTGATTACATAAATAAATAATACCAACGTGTATTAAATATTTTTCATTACATAATAAAAAAACAAGAAGAAGACGTGCAACTTCTATAACTCTTATAAATAATAATGATATTATATGATAATATATTTTATAATAAAATAATAATTAACTATTATATAGTGGACAAGAATAAGTAAAATTGTTATTTTCTCTTAATATCAAGGAATAAATATATATAATAAAATCAAAGTTATATTAGTATAAATGTGTTAGTGAGATAATATATTAATTATATTATAAGCTAGTCATAACATGCTCACATTCAATGTTCTGATTAATAAAACAACGCTGATTAAAAGAGGTGAAAAATAAATTATAACCCAATTTTTTTTTACTTAACAGTGATTACAAAAGGTAGAATGAATGATACCCTTATTGCTTTTCTGACTTAAACGGACAGAGCTTGTAAAAATAATTCATTTAATATCTCTGTCTCGTGCATCGCACGAGAACGTACTAGTTCATAAAATAAAATATGATGATTAAAGAAGTCATTATTACTACATACTCTCTCACAGGTATGCTCCACGTGGCACGCCACGTCGTGGTCCGATCTCCTATGGCGCCACCTCACCCAACGCATCTGGAACGTCGGTACCCTCCTCCGCGACACCTGGCGGGACGAGTACATCCACCGCCACCGAACCGCCAACAACTTCCGACTGAGCCGCGCGGCCTACGCCCCTCTCTACTTCTACCCGACGGCCAACAACGAGAACAACGACGGTCTCGCCTGCCGCCGCCTAGCCCTCTCCGAACGTCGCCTGGCCGCCGGATTCGCCAACGGGGCGGTCCACCTTTACCGGCTCCCGGACGAGGCCCACCTCTCGGCCTTCCACCCGCCGTCCCGCCAGGACAGCAGGCTCGGCCGGTTCTCAAGCGCCGTGGCCGGGATTGTCCTGACAGACGCGTGTCTCGTTTTCGCCACGCTGGGCGGCGACGTCCACGTCGCGAACCTGGGTGGTGACGGCGTGGGGCCCACGCCGCCACTGAGACGGGCGCACGTGGGCGATGTGGTGAATGACGGTGTGCTCGTGGATTTTGCGGGGTGCGAGCGATGGTGGGTAGGCCTATATGCAGGCACGTGTTTATGCAATTTTTATTTATTTATTTTTATTTCGAGAATTGTAATTTTAGTCCTGCATGTTTCACTATCTTAACTTTTTCGTCCTCTTCGAATTGCATTTTTTATTTTCGTCCCATATGTTTACAAAAAAAAGGTACAAAAAGGTCATATTCATNCCTTTCGCATTGAAGAGGACGAAAAAGTTAGAGTAGTAAAACATACAGGACTAAAATTATAATTTACTCTTTTATATTTTCAGACCAAGAATGAATGAATTAATTCTAATAAGCGTGCATCTATCATCTGTGTAGGTGTACCAGGCCATGGGTTGCGCGTATGGAATAGAGTAACCGAGGAGCTCGTTTTTGTTGGTGGCACCTTAACAGACCCGGAGGCAGTTACGGGGTGGCACATGCTGACTGAGCCTACACAACTAATCGGTCGGGTTCGCATAACAAGCCACGGCATGGCCGTGGCATGCACCAGCGTTAGACTCATAGTCTTTGACTTGGAAAATCATATAGGGATGATATTAGGAGAGGAGGAGTTTCATAGGGAAATGATTGTGGGCTCGTTTGATGCGGTCAACGAGTCAACACTGATGGTCGACGTGCGTGGGTCGGCAACTGTTCGAAGGGTTCCTAATTTAGAGGAGTCGTGTGGGTTCCTAGTGAGAGGAAGTCGGGTAGGTTTAGGGGAGGTTTTGGGGAGTATGAATGGTGGGTATGGGGTGGTGTTGGTTAATGGGGTGGTGAAAGTTTGGGATATTCAGGTTGGTAGATATTTGTACAGATTTAGGGAAACAATTGGTGATTGTAGTGCCCTAGTGACGGATGATAGGTATGTGGCCGCTTATTCAACTGATGGGACTATACATTTATGGGACTTCGGGGCTTAGAATG